GTCGGCGACCTTGCAAGTCGGTGACCTTGCAAGTCGGTGACCTTGCAAGTCGGTGACCTTGCAAGTCGGCGCCGACCACCAGTTGAAGTCGGCCGCCGGCTTCCCAAGTCGGCGGCATTGCAGTGGCCCCGTGCAAGTCGACCAACCCCGTCGACCAGCTCGCCCAAGTCGGCATCGGCCACTGCTGCAAGTCGGCTGTACCTCCCGTACACCCAACTACGAAGTCGGCTCCGCCCAAGCGAGGACGGGGCCAACAACAACTCCCGTTGACACCTTTTACCATGCCGTACCTTACCTGTACCGTACCTCACCTTACCACACCTCACTCATCACTAGCCTAGGCTGCCCTCCACCCCTCCACCCCCCACCTCTGCACGTCTGCTTCTGCTGCTGCCGGTCTGCTTCTCAGCTTAATCTGCTGCAATCTTCGCTTGATGCTGAGTGACCTGGAGGAGGGGAAACGAGGGGAGAGTGAGAGAGGAGGGGGGCACACGAGAGGAGGGGAAGGAGGAGAAGTGAGTTTCAAGACAGACACGGAAGAGAAACTGAATAAAACAAGTATGAGCAAGCAAATTGTTAAGACAGATGCAACAGCGATGAACTTGAGGGAGAAAGAGATGAGGCCAGGGAGGAAGCTAACGTACCTTGAGTGGCCAAGCCCATCCCCATACTCTCCCTTACTGCACAACAGGCGCGCATACTGACCAACTTGACCAGCGCATTACGTATGTTTGTAAAGATGCAATTAGTACCATTTTCTTGCCAGTCCAATAGATTAGGCCATCTACTTTAACAACACTAGGTTCTAACCTTTTAGTTCCACATAATTTGCAATATTTCAGAGCTCTAGCTCCGCTTTGTACCTGCACACAAGCGTGCATACTGACCGAACCGACACACGTACATTTTTTCTGTATAAATACATTGAATACCACAAATGTTTCGCTTTTCCTTTACACTTCACCCCTCTACCAGGTTCTAACCTTTTGTATCTATGTAATTCGCCAAATATAGGCATTCCAGTCATGCATGGTACAAGCACTATAGGCGCGAATACCGACCATACTGACCAACGCATTACTTATGTTTGTAGAGATGTAGTTAGTACCATTTTCTTGCCAGTCCACTAGATTAGGCCATCTACTTTAACAATATTAGGTTCTAACCTTTTAGATCCATATAATTTTCAAGATTTCAGAGCTCCAGCTCCGTCTTGTACCTGCACACAAGCGTGCATACTATCCGAACCGACCCACGCATCAATTTCTTTGTATAAATACAGTGAATACCACATATGTTTCGCTTTTCCTTTACACTATACCATTTCCAACTCCTCTACCAGGTTCTAACATTTTGGATATATGTAACTCGCCAAAAATATGCATTCTAGTCGTGCATGGTACCTGCACAACAGGCGCGCATAGTGACCAACTTGACCAGCGCATTACATATGTTTGTAAAGATGAAATTAGTACCATTTTCTTGCCAGTCCACTAGATTAGGCCATCTACTTTAACAACACTAGGTTCTAACCTTTTAGTTCTACATAATTTGCAATATTTCAGAGCTCTAGCTCCGCCTTGTACCTGCACACAAGCGTGCATACTGACCGAACCGACACACGCATCATTTTCTCTGTATAAATACATTGAATACCACATATGTTTCGCTTTTCCTTTATATTATACCATTCTTCACCCCTCTACCAGGTTCTAACCTTTTGTATCTATGTAATTTGCCAAATATAGGCATTCCAGTCGTGCATAGTACCTGCACTATAGGCGCGCATACCGACCAAACTGACCAACACATTACTTATGTTTGAAGAGATGCAGTTAGTACCATTTTCTTGTCAGTCCACTAGATTAGGCCATCTACTGTCAAACTTATATGCAGCTTATTGTGTAGGCTGTAGTGGGGTAGCCCATATGGGGTACAACCCAATTAGGGTTTCATACTTGTACCCATCCTGCTGCTAGTTCATTCATTCCTCGTTCATTATTCTTACATCTACTTTAACAATACTAGGTTCTAACCTTTTAGATCCACATAATTTTCAAGATTTCAGAGCTCCAACTCCGCCTTGTACCTGCACACAAGCGTGCATACTACCCGAACCGACCCACGCATCATTTTCTCTGTATAAATACAGTGAATACCACATATGTTTCGCTTTTCCTTTACATTATAACATTACCCACCCCTCTACCAGGTTCTAACCTTTTGGATCTATGTAATTTGCCAAATATAGACATTTCCGTCGTGCATGGTACCTGCACTACATGTGCGTATACTGACCAAACTGACTAGCACATTACTTATGTTTGTAGACATGAAGTTTGTACCATCTTCTAAAATTTGTCTACTAGATTAGGCCATCTACTTTAATAATATTAGGTTCTAACCTTTTAGATCCACATAATTTGCAAGATCTCAGAGCTTTATCTCCGCCTTGTACCTGCACACAAGCGTGCATACTACCCGAATCGACCCACGCATCATTTTCTCTGTATAAATACAGTGAATACCACATATGTTTCGCTTTTCCTTTACACTGTACCATTTCCCACCCCTCTACCAGGTTCTAACCTTTTTGGATCTATGTAATTGGCCAAACAATATGCATTCCAGTCGTGCATGGTACCTGCACAACAGGCGCGCATACTGACCAACTTGACCAGCGCATTACGTACGTTTGTAAAGATGCAATTAGTACCATTTTCTTGCCAGTCCACTAGATTAGGCCATCTACTTTAACAACACTAGGTTCTAACCTTATAGTTCCACAGAATTTGCAATATTTCAGAGCTCTAGCTCCGCCTTGTACCTGCACACAAGCGTGCATACTGACCGAACCGACACACGCATCATTTTCTCTGTATAAATATATTGAATACCACATATGTTTCGCTTTTCCTTTACATTATACCATTCTTCACCCCTCTACCAGGTTCTAACCTTTTGTATCTATGTAATTCGCCAAATATAGGCATTCCAGACGTGCATGGTACCTGCACTATAGGCGCGCACACCGACCAAACTGACCAACGAATTACATATGTTTGTAGAGATACTGTTAGTACCATTTTTTTGTCAGTCCACTAGATTAGGCCATCTACTTTAACAATATTAGGTTCTAACCTTTTAGATCCACATAATTTTCAAGATTTCAGAGCTCCAGCTCCGCCTTGTACCTGCACACAAGCGTGCATACTACCCGAACCGACCCACGCATCATTTTCTCTGTATAAAATTAGTGAATACCACATATGTTTCGCTTTTCCTTTACATTATAACATTCCCCACTCCTCTACCAGGTTCTAACCTTTTGGATTTATGTAATTTGCCAAATATAGGCATTTTAGTCGTGCATGATACCTGCACTACAGGCGCGCATACTAACCAAACTGACCAGCGCATTACTTATGTTTGTAGACATGAAGTTTGTACCATCTTCTTGCGAGTCCACTAGATTAAGCCATCTACTTTAATGATATTAGGTGCTAACATTTTAGATCCACATAATTTACAAGATTCCAGAGCTCCAGCTCCGCCTTGTACCTGCACACAAGCGTGCATACCACCCGAATCGACCCACGCATCATTTTCTCTGTATAAATACAGTGAATACAACATAAGTTTCGCTTTTCCTTTACACTATACCATTTCCCACCCCTCTACAAGGTTCTAACCTTTTGGATCTATGTAATTTGCCAAAAATATGCATTCTAGTCGTGCATGGTACCTGCACAACAGACGCGCATACTGACCAACTTGACCAGCGCATTACGTATGTTTGCAAAGATGCAATTAGTACCATTTTCTTTCCAGTCCACTAGATAAGGCCATCTACTTTAACAATACCTGGTTCTAACCCTTTGGTTCCACATTATTTGCAATATTTCAGAGCTCTAGCTTCGCCTTATACCTGCACACAAGCGTGCATACTGACCGAACCGACATACAAATCATTTTTTCATTATAAATACATTGAATATCACATATGTTTCGCCTTTCGTTTACATTATACCATTCTTCACCCCTCTACCAGGTTCTAACCTTTTGTATCTATATAATTCGCCAAATATAGACATTCTAATCATGCATGGTACCGCCCAAACTGACCAACGCATTACTTATGTTTGTAGAGTTGCAGTTCGTACCCTTTTTCTGCCAGTCCACTAGATTAGGCCATCTACTTTAACCATATTAGGTTCTAACCTTTTAGATCCACATAATTTTCAAGATGTGAGAGCTCTAGCTCCGCCTTGTACCTGCACACAAGCGTGCATACTACCGGAATTGACCCACACATCATTTTCTCTGTATAAGTACAGTGAATACTACAAATGTTTCGCTTTACCTTTAAATTATAACATTCCCCATCCCTCTACCAGGTTCTAACCTTTTGGATCTATGTAATTCGCCAAATATAGGCATTTCAGTCGTGCATGGTACCTGCACTACAGGCGCGCATACTGACCAAACTGACCAGAGCATTACTTATGAAGTTTGTACAATCTTCTTGCCAGTCCACTAGATTAAGCCATCTATTTTTGTCAAACTTATATGCTATAGTCTGTGTAGGCTGTAGTGGGGTAGACAATATGGGGTACAACACTTTTAGGTTTTCCTACTTGTACCCACCTGTTTCCTAGTGCATTCATTCCTCGTTCTTTCACATGGTATAGAGCAGGTTCCCTAGTGGGAACGTTTCCTAGGGCCCACCACGATCGATTTTTTTTTTTCCTGCCCGGAGCGCGCTTCGCTCCTGCCAGAGTCGCGCCCTGTGTGCCTGCCCTCCCGTCGCGTCCCCTGCCCTTAGCGGCCCGTCGCGGCCCCTCCGCCGCCCTTCGCGGCCCCTCTCACGGCCCTTCGTGGCCCCTTACCGCCCCTCGCGGCCCCTTCGCAGCCCCTCGCGGCCCCTTCTCGGCCCCGTCGCCGCCCTTCGCGGCCCCTCACGGCCCCTTCTCGGCCCCGTCGCCACCCTTCGCGGCCCCTCACGGCCCCTTCGCGGCCCCTTCACCGCCCTTAGCGGCCCCTTCTCGGCTCCTCCGCGGCCCCTTCTCGGCTCCCTCACGGACCTGCCGCCCCGCCGTCGCCGCCCCTGCAGCAGCAGCCGTCGCCGCCCCTGCAGCAGCAGCCGTCGCCGCCCCTGCAGCGGGAGCCGCCACCGCCGGTGCCGCCGACAGCAGCAGCCGCCGCCGCCACTGCCGGGGCCGCAGCCGCCGCAGCCGCCGACAGCAGCAGCCGCCGCCGCCACAGCCGGGGCTGCAGCCGCCGCAGCCGCCGACAGCAGCAGCCGCTGCCGCCACTGCCGGGGCCGCAGCCACCGCAGCCGCCGACTGCAGCCGCTGGCGCCGCCGACAGCAGGGGCCGCCGCCGCCGTCCCGGCCCTGCCCTGCAGAGAGGAGCGGCACTCCTCTGCTGCCCTGTAGCGGCCCCGTCCCTGCCGGCGCGCCTCGGCCCTGCCCCACCACTTGCGGACCTCTACCCACCTGCCCTGGTAAGAGCACCGCCGAGCCGCGCCCCTACTGTTGCTACTGCTGCTGCTGCCCCTAGCCTGCTGCCACTGCTGTCATGGCTACCCCTAGCGTTCTCGTCTTTGATGCTGAGGGTCGGGCTGTTGACTTTGAGGTCTGGGTCGATGATCTACAGCTTTTCCTACAGTGCGATAGGAAAGACGGTCTCTCACTGTTCGATCTCACGTCTGGCGCCTCTGCTGCCCCTGCTGCCGATGCTGACAGCACTGTTCGCTCATAGTGGGCCACACACGATGCTGCTGCCCGTCTTGCTGTGCGTAGTCACTTGCCGTCCTCTGAGCGCGCGCACTTTAGTCAGTACAAGAGTGCTAGGACCTTGTACGACGCTGTAGTCGCACGCTACTCTTCCCCTGTCACTGCTGCCCTTAGCCGCCTCATGCTGCCGTACCTGTTCCCTGACCTCGCCGCCTTTCCCACAGTCGCTGACCTCATTACGCACCTTCGCACTAGTGACACCCGCTACCGCGCTGCGCTTCCTGCTGAGTTCTGCGCCAAGAACCCCCCCCCCCATGTACATCACCCTCTACTACATAGTCACCCGGCTCCCTGACTCCCTTCGCTCGGTCAGGGACCACTTCCTCTCTGTTTGCCCCACCACACTCACCGTTGACCTCCTCGAGGAGCGCCTCCTGGCAGCTGAGAAGAGTATAGTCGCTGTAGGAGCCTCTCGTGGTGACCCTCGTGCCCCCTTCTTTGAGGGGTGCTCCCCCTCCCCCCTTTTGCCCTCTGTTGCCTCTGCTGCTGCCGTCGACTTTGTTGGCACCGAGTCGGTCGGCGCTGCGTCTGCCCCTAGCGGGAGACGCTGCACCGGCAAGGGCAAGTGGGGCAAGGGCGCTGGAGGGGCTGGCGGGGGCGGTGGAGGTGGCGGTGGAGGCAGCGGAGGGAGTGGGGGTGGCGGTGGGAGTGGTGGTGGGGGTGGGGGCTTTGGTGGCGGCGGTGGAGGCGGAGGCGGCGGCGGCGGTGGCGGTGGGAGCGGAGGAGGAGGCGGTGGCGGCGGTGGCGGAGGTGGCGGCGGCGGAGGTGGAGCTGGTTGGGGTGGCTCTGCGCAGCGGAGCGGCTTCGGTGGTGGTCAGCGCCAGCAGCAGCAGCGCACTCGTGAGACCCCGCCCCCCCAGCAGCTTCGTGAGTGGTACGCTGCGCGTCAGCGGGGTGGGGGTGCTGGTCCTTGTGCCTACGTCCTGCGTACCGGCGACCGCACTGGTGAGCCGTGCGGTGGCCCGCACACCACCAAGCGCTGCTTCGGCCGCCTGACGGACGCTTGGCGTCTCCAGTTCCCTGACGCCACTGAGATCCCCCGCTGGGGCGAGCTGCTTAGGTCGGGGGTTCCTATCTTTGATCTGGATTATGATGCTATTCTTGCTGCCATGTATGTTGTGTCTACTAGTGATGAGGGCGACTGTTACCTGTGTGTTCCGCCTGACCCGGGCATTGAGGCTGCTGCTCTAGGTGCTGGTGAGGCTGCTGCTCTAGGTGCTAGTGCGTCTGCTGCCCCAGGTACTGGTGCGTCTGCTCTCTCAGGTACCACGTCGGCTCAGGCCTTACACACCTTCACCCTTGACTCGGGTGCTTCCCGCTCCTTCTTTCGAGACCGCACCACGCTTACGCCGCTTAGTCGGCCAGTTGCGGTCTCCCTGGCGGACCCCTCTGGGGGTCCTATCCTTGCCCACTTCTCCACTGTCTTACCGTGTCCGGTGGCCCCCTCTGGCACCCTGTCAGGTCTCTACCTCCCCTCGTTCTCCACGAACTTGGTGAGTAGTGCTGATCTACAGGATGGGGGGGTTGACCAGTTCACTCCTGCGAGTCAGCGGGTGACCCACTGTACGTGTGCTCGGACGGGCCGACACTTGGCCACGTTTACCCATCAGCCGGGGTCGAGCCTGTACACACTGACTACTGAGTCTCCTCCGGTTGCTGAGTCTGGTCAGGTAGCTGCGTCGGGTCAGGTGTTTGCTGCAGCGTCCAGGTCTGGTCCTGAGTCTGCTCCCTGCTCGTGTCGTCTCCTGTCCAACCGGACTCTCCTCTGGCACCACCGCCTTGGTCACCCCTCCCTGCCTCGTCTCCGAGGCATGGCCTCCCGTTACCTTGTCTCTGGTCTCCCCCGGTCCCTCCCTCCCCTCCCTCCGGGGCCTGCCCCTACCTGCGTTCCCTGCGTCGAGGGGCGGCAGCGCGCCGCCCCTCACTCCTTCGAGTTTCCTCCGACAGAGGCTCCGCTGCAGACTCTTCACATGGACGTGTGGGGCCCCGCCCGCGTCCGTGGCCAGGGTCACGAGCGTTACTTCCTGTTGGTGGTTGACGACTACTCGCGTTACACCACGGTGTTCCCCTTGCGCAGCAAGGGTGACGTCACTGAGGTGTTGATCGACTGGATTCGCGCAGCTCGTCTCCAGCTCAGAGAGAGTATCGGCTCGGACTTTCCTGTTCTGCGTCTGCACTCTGACAGAGGCGGGGAGTTTTCCTCTGGCCTTCTGGGAGCCTTCTGTCGTGCACAGGGCATCCGCCAGACGTTCACGCTTCCGGCCTCTCCACAGCAAAATGGGATTGCTGAGCGCCGCATTGGCATGGTCATGGACGTCGCTCATACGTCCATGATCCATGCGGCTGCTCCCCATTTTCTGTGGCCGTTTGCGGTTCGGTACGCAACGCATCAGATCAACCTTCAGCCCCGGGTCTCCTTGCCAGAGACCTCCCCCACCTTGCGGTGGACGCGGAAGGTTGGCGATGCGTCTGCGTTTCGTGTCTGGGAATCTCGGGCGTTTGTCCGCGACTTGTCTGCGGACAAGCTGTCCCCCCGTGCTGTTCCCTGCGTCTTCCTTGGCTTCCCCCCTGACGCGCCTGGTTGGTAGTTTTACCACCCCACCTCGCGCCGTGTTCTGTCCTCCCAGGACGTCACCTTTGACGAGTCGGTTCCTTACTACCGTCTCTTCCCCTACCGCACTGCGCCCCTCCCCCCGCCGCCGCTCTTCCTTGCGCTAGGTCCCCCCCCGGTAGACCCTCTCCCCCCTCAGGGTCCTGCCCCGTCAGGTGTGTCCCAGGTAGACGCAGTCGAGCCTGTCGAGGTAGCTGTTGACTCTGGTGCTGCTAGGGGTGCTGAGCCTGCGGGTGCGGGGTCTGGGGGTGCTGAGCCTGGGGGTGCTGGGTCTGGGGGTGCTGAGCCTGGGGGTGCTGAGCCTGGGGGTGCGGAGCCTGGGGGTGCTGAGCCTGGGGGTGCGGAGCCTGGGGGTGCTGGGTCTGCTCGTGTGGCCTCTGGCGGTGCTGGGTCTGGGGGTCCTTCGGGTGCTTCGTCTCGGCGGGAGCTACCCTCTCCACAGGAGCTGCGCGAGTGGTTTGCCCGGCGCTGGAGCCGTGCTGCTGGAGCTGGAGGTGCTACTGTTGCTGCTGACCCTGGGGTCGGCGCTGGAGGTACTGGAGCCACTGGTCCTGGAGGTGCTCGTACTGGCGGTACTGGAGCTGCTGGGACTGGGGGTGCTGCTGGGGCTGCTGGAGTTGGTCCTGCTGGAGGTGCTGCTGGTGCTGCTGGAGGTACTGGAGCTGCTGGGGGTGTTGGCGCTGGAGGTGCTGCTAGCGCTGATACTTCTGAGGGTGCTGGAGTTGGCGCTGCTGGAGCTAGAGGTACTGCTGGCGCTGGTGCTGCCGCTGGGGGTCCTGGTGCTGTCCCTGCTGTTTCAGGAGGCGCTGAGCGGCCGCGGCCGTACTTCGTTCCGCTCCTTGAGCAGGTTCTTGGTCTCCCGCCTTCTACTGGTCCTGCTCCTCCCTTTGAGTGTCCACAGCCTGTCCAGTCGCAGTCACAGTTACAGCCCGCCTCCCCCTTGCCTGCTCCTTCTCCCTACATTGGTCCTACTGGAGGTCTTGCTGAGCGTCGTGCGCCTGCGTCTCGTCCTGCGTCGCCTGTTCGTGCTGCTCGCGCTAGTCGTCGTGTTCCGCGTCAGCGTCCTCCTGCGGTCCCGGGCACGCACCAGATGGCACTGCGTCCTTCCACTGCTCCGCAGTGTGTCCCTTTGCCGTCTCCTCCGGAGTCCTCTCTTCCTGCTCTTGCTGACCCGAAGTCTGACTCTCTTCGTGCTGCCAGTCCTACTGTCACGCGACTCCTGGCTACTGTTGTCACTGACCCTTCCTTTGAGTCCACTGCTGCGTCTGCCTTAGTTGCTGAGCTTGTCGACTTCGCTGCTCACTGTCGCCTAGACTACGCCGCGAGTCTTGTTGCTGAGTCTGAGTCTGTCTGTCCTCCGTCCGTCGGGGGTGAGTGTGCTCTTAGCACGGACGTCCTTGAGGACAGGCAGGAGGAGTTCCAGTGTTTTGCTGCTGCTTTGCCTCATCTCGTGTCCATGCTGATTGCCCCTGAGGGAGACCCGGATGCACCAGACATCCCGACTCCTCGATCGTACGCTGAGGCGATCGAGGGTCCCTACTCCTCACAGTGGCAGTCAGCCATGGACGCAGAGATGGCTTCCTGGAAGTCCACAGGCACCTACGTCGACGAGGTTCCCCCACCTGGGGCGAACATCGTCAGTGGCATGTGGATTTTCAGGGTGAAGCGGCCGCCGGGTTCTCCGCCTGTCTTCAAGGCGCGTTACGTGGCTCGAGGCTTCAGTCAGCGGCAGGGAGTTGACTACTTTCAGACCTTCTCTCCCACCCTGAAGATGACCACTCTTCGGGTGCTGCTGCACACTCTCTTGACTTCAGCACAGCTTTCTTGCAGGGCAGCCTGCACGAGGAGATCTGGCTGCGCCGCCCACCTGGCTTCACTGGGTCGTTTCCTCCTGGTACCCAGTGGAGCGTCCGGCGGCCAGTCTACGGTCTCCGCCAGGCGCCCCGTGAGTGGCACGACACACTGAGGACTACACTTGCGGCTCTTGGGTTTGCTCCTTCTACTGCCGACCCGTCGCTGTTTCTGCGCACCGACACCTCTTTGCCGCCGTTCTACATCCTCGTGTACGTCGACGACTTGGTCTTTGCTACTGCTGACACTGTTGGACTCGCCCACGTGAAGTCCGAGCTGCAGAAGAGACACACGTGCACAGACCTGGGTGAACTGCGCAGCTACCTTGGCTTGCAGATCACCCGGGACAGAGCACAACGCACCATTACCCTGACTCAGTCACACATGGTGCAGCAGGTCCTTCAGCGCTTCGACTTCACGTACTCCTCGCCTCAGGCCACTCCTCTGTCTACTCGCCACTCGCTCTCAGCTCTGCCTTCAGATGAGTCCGTAGAGCCGAGTGGCCCGTACCCAGAGCTTGTTGGCTGCCTCATGTACCTGATGACTTGCACTCGACCTGACCTTGCATACCCTCTTAGCATCTTGGCACGCTATGTTGCTCCTGGGAGACACCGACCAGAGCACATGGCTGCAGCGAAGAGGGTGTTGCGCTACTTGTGCAGTACGTCAGGCATGGGGCTAGTGCTTGGAGGGCGGCGTTCAGTGGTCCTCACCGGTCACGCAGACGCTTCTTGGGCTGACGACCAGGCTACGCAGCGGTCGTCACAGGGTTACACCTTCAGCCTTGGTTCCGGCTCTGTTTCGTGGCGGTCTACCCGCTCGTCTTCTGTTCTCGGCTCCAGCTATGAGGCTGAGATCTACGCGGGGGCCATGGCTGCACAGGAGCTACGTTGGCTCACCTACCTGCTGACTGACCTAGGAGAGCCCCCTCGTTCTCCTCCAGTTCTGTACGTAGACAACAAGGCCATGCTGGCCTTGTGTCGGAAGCACAGACTGGAGCACAGAACGAAGCACATTGCTCTTCGTTACTTCCTTGCTCGTGAGCTGCAGCAGCGTGGTCAGCTGCGCCTTGCTTACGTGGCCTCTGAGGCCAACACTGCTGATATCTTTACCAAGGCACTTCCGCCTTGTGATCATCAGCGCTGCTGTACGATGCTAGGTCTTGTGCCTACTTGGCCTCACTTGCTCACTTCTTGACCTTGCTTGTACTGGGATCTATCTATACCTGCACTTGCTTGTTTACCTTTATATATGATCTTGCATGTGAACTGGCCTTGTGGCCTTGAACTTGTGCTCGGAATGTGTGGTGACGTTGTGATCCACCCTGAGCTTGCTTTGCTTTGCTTGACTGGTCTTGTGACCTCTTGTTCTCCCCCACTTTGCCTATGGGGGTGTGTCAAACTTATATGCTATAGTCTGTGTAGGCTGTAGTGGGGTAGACAATATGAGGTACAACACTTTTAGGTTTTCCTACTTGTACCCACCTGTTTCCTAGTGCATTCATTCCTCGTTCTTTCACAACTTTAACAGTTTTAGGTTCTAACCTTTTAGATCTACATAATTTGCAAGATTTCAGAGCTCCAGCTCCGCCTTGTACCTGCACACAAGCGTGCATACTACCCGAATCGACCCACTCATCATTTTCTCTGTATAAATACAGTGAATACCACATATGTTTCGCTTTTCCTTTACACTATACCATTTCCCACCCCTCTACGAGGTTCTAACATTTTGGATCTATGTGATTCGCCAAAAATATGCATTCCAGTCATGCATGGTACCTGCACAACAGGCGCGCATACTGACCAACTTGACCAGCGCATTACGTATGTTTGTAAAGATGCAATTAGTACCATTTTCTTGCCAGTCCACTAGATTAGGCCATCTACTTTAACAACACTAGGTTCTAACCTTTTAGTTACACATAATTTGCAATATTTCAGAGCTTTAGCTCCGCCTTGTACCTGCACACAAGCGTGCATACTAACCGAACCGACACACGCATCATTTTCTCTGTATAAATACATTGAATACCGCATATGTTTCGCTTTTCCTTTACATTATACCATTCTTCACCCCTCTACTAGGTTCTAACCTTTTGTATCTATCTAATTCGCCAAAAAGGCATTCCAGTCGTGCATGGAACCTGCACTATAGGCGCGCATACCGACCAAACTGACCAACACATTACTTATGTTTGTATAGATGCAGTTGGTACCATTTTCTTGCTAGTCCACAAGATTAAGCCATCTACTTTAACAACACCAGGTTCTAACCTTTTAGTTCCACATAATTTGCAATATTTCATTGCTCTAGCTCCGCCTTGTACCTGCACACAAGCGTGCATACTGACCGAACCGACACACGCATCATTTTCTCTGTATAAATACATTGAATACCACATATGTTTCGCTTTTCCTTTAAATTATACCATTCTTCACCCCTGTACCAGGTTCAAACCTTTTGTATCTATGTAATTCGCCAAATATAGGCATTCCAGTCATCCATGGTACCTGCACTATAGGTCGCATACCGACCAAACTGACCAACGCATTACTTACGTTTGTAGAGATGCAGTTAGTACCATTTTCTTGTTAGTCCACTAGATTAGGCCATATACTTTAACAATATTAGTTTCTAACCTTTAAGATCCACATAATTTTTAAGATTTCAGAGCTCCAGCTCCGCCTTGTACCTGCACACAAGCGTGCATACTACCCGAACCGACCCACGCATCATTTTCTCTGCATCATTTTCCACGCATCATACAGTGAATACCACAAATATTTCGCTTTTCCTTTACATTATAACATTCCCCACCCCTCTACCAGGTTCTAACATTTTGGATATATGTAATTTGCCAAATATAGGCATTTCAGTCGTGCATGGTATCTGCACTACAGGCGCGCATACTGACCAAACTGACCAGCGCATTACTTATGTTTGTAGACATGAACTTTGTACCATCTTCTTGCCAGTCCACTAGATTAGGCCATCTACTTTAACAATATTAGGTGCTAACCTTTTAGATCCACATAATTTGCAAGATTTCAGAGCTCTAGCTCCGCCTTGTACATGCAGACAAGCGTGCATACTACCCGAACCGGCCCACGCATCACTGTTTTTGTATAAATACAGTGAATACCACATATGTGTCGCTTTTCTTCTATACTATACCATTTCCCACCCCTCTACCAGGTTCTAACCTTTTGGATCTATGTAACTCGCCAAAAATATGCATTCCAGTCGTGCATGGTACCTGCACAACAGGCGCGCATACTGACCAACTTGACCAGCGCATTACGTATGTTTGTAAAGATGCAATTAGTACCATTTTCTTGCTAGTCCACTAGATTAGGCCATCTACTTTAACAACACTAGGTTCTAACCTTTTAGTTCCACATAATTTGCAATATTTCAGAGCTCTAGCTCCGCCTTGTACATGCACACAAGCGTGCATACTAACCTGTTGAAATATATTTCTTATATAAACTGCTTGTAGCGGTAGTTAGTGTAGTGTTACATTGTTTGGTGGTGCACCTTGCTTGCTTTGCCTATATCCTTGTACCTTCTCTCTTTATTGAACACTTCTCCTTGCAACAACTCCCTCGACTATCCTTGGCCTAGGCTACTAAGCCTAGGCCCTACCAAAACCCTAGCCACCACTTAAGCTACTATCTTGACATAACCGAACCGACACACGCATCATTTTCTCTGTATAAATACATTGAATACCACATATGTTTCGCCTTTCCTTTACATTATACCAATCATCACCCCTGTACCAGGTTCAAACCTTTTGTTTCTATGTAATTTGCCAAATATAGGCATTCCAGTCATGCATGGTACCTACACTATAGGCGCGCATACCGACCAAACTGACCAACGCATTACTTACGTTTGTAGAGATGCAGTTAGTAGCATTTTCTTGCCAGTCCACTAGATTAGACCATCTACTTTAACAATATTAGGTTCAAACCTTTAAGATCCACATAATTTTTAAGATTTCAGAGCTCCAGCTCTGCCTTGTACCTGCACACAAGCGTGCATACTACCCGAACCGACCCACGCATCATTTTCTCTGCATCATTTTCCACGCATCATACAGTGAATACCACAAATATTTCGCTTTTCCTTTACATTATAACATTCCCCACCCCTCTACCAGGTTCTAACATTTTGGATATATGTAATTCGCCAAATATAGGCATTTCAGTCGTGCATGGCATCTGCACTACAGGCGCGCATACTGACCAAACTGACCAGCGCATTACTTATGTTTGTAGACATGAAGTTTGTACCATCTTCTTGCCAGTCCACTAAATTAGGCC